CATTATTTTGCAAATACCACACCTTTCAAGATATTAAAACAAAGATCTCTGGTCTGAAGCAGTGAATAACCCTCTATCAAGCATACAAGCTGGCACAAGAAGAAGAACTAGCTGAACAGATGCAAGGGATTGAAACTGCACATGGAGAGTAAAGATATGGAGAGACATGGAAAGTGGTTAATGAGATCACCGGTAGAAAGAAAGAAAAGGAAGGACAGCTGGAAATAGCCCTGAAGAGAGCGTCAGCGCATGGTTTACGCACTTCAAGAATCTCTTAGGAAATCAACCTGATGTAGGCGAGCCTGAGGAGGAAATTCCAAAGGTGTTTGATGATATTGACATCAATGATAAACCCTTCACTTTAGCTGAATACAGAAAAGTGAAGTCCTCCCTGAAGCTAGGCAAGGCAGCAGGTCCCGATGAAATTCCCCCGGAAGTCTTCAAACTGTGTGACTTTGATCGAGTTTGTTTAGATTTCTGTAATGATGCACTCGTCAACAATGACAAACCAGATACATGGTCATTCATGAACATTGTAACTGTGCCCAAGTCTGGCGACCTATCGAAGACTGATAACTACAGAGGCATCAGCTTGATATGCATCATAGCCAAGATTTACAATCGGCTCATACTAAATCGCATCAGGTGTGTCATCGACCTACGTCTCAGAATAAATCAGAATGGTTTTCGCCCTGGAAGAACAACAGTAGCACAGATTCTTGCCCTCCGTCGAATAATCGAAGGTGTCAAAGCCAATAACTTGAAAGCAATCTTTACCTTTATAGATTTTCGAAAGGCATTTGACTCCATACACAGAGGAAAGATGATTCGCATACTCAAGGCATATGGAATTCCACCCAATCTTCTTCAAGCAATAGAAAAGATGTATACCAATACCATAGCCAAGATCGTAACACCTGATGGAGAAACTGGTATGTTTGAAATAACTGCTGGAGTTTTGCAGGGAGATACCTTAGCACCATTCTTATTTATCAAAGTACTGGACTATGCCCTGAGAAAAGCAATCTCTGGAAAAGAAGAGGAATTATGTTTCACCATACCGCCTAGAAAATCCCGCAGACACCCAAAAAAAAGTTCTTACTGATCTTGATTTTGCCGACGACATTTCCTTACTATCAGATGAAATCGTCCAAGCCCAGGAACTGTTATCTAGAGTAGAGCGTGAGTGTAAGAAGGTTGGACTACGTATCAACGCCAAGAAGACAAAAGTCCTCCCCTTCAATACTGACAACCCTACGCCACTCAAAACCTTAGATGGCACTGAAATCGAATGGGTGGAAAATTTTAAATATCTTGGCTCCTGGGTCTTAAGTTCAGAAAAGGACATATCTGTTCGAAAAACACTAGCCTGGCAGGCTCTGAACAAGATGTCCAGAATACGGCGCTCAACGATACGAAGAGATCTCAAGTTCCGCTTCTTTATAGCCACAATCGAGTCTATTCCGCTGTATGGCTGCAAGAGCTGGACCCTAACTGTAGCCCAGGAGAAGTCACTAGATGGAACCTATACACGCATGCTTCGGAAGGTTCTAGACATTCACTGGACAAGCCACAAAAATGGTAACCTACCAAAGGTCAGTGATAAAATAGCCTCCAGGAGAATGCAGCTAGCTGGGCATTGCTTCCGTCATCCAGAGCTCAGCGCACAATCATTGGTACTGTGGGAGCCAAATCACGGACGCCGTGGAAGAGGAAGACCAAAGGCCACATTTTTGGACACACTAAAACGTGACACGAAGACAAGGGATGCAAATGAACTAGCTTCCCTAATGGCCGATTGGAAGAACTGGCGTGGACATGTCGTTGGTCGTCTAAGGACGACCGAGTGTGTGTGTGTGTGTGTAAAACAAAGGCCTAAAATTTAAGTGATATGAAACAAGTTAGCCAAAATACGATCCAATGTTATCTTATAGGCATATTTACTATCAAAGTCATTATTAAGACCATAGAATTTACGAAATGCTGAGTTAACGAGGTTGTTGAAATCCCTGTAACATTGACTTTTATCTTTCAGTAGCCTGCCTCGGTTTATAAACAACAACAAACACAAAAACATTTCGTATTGTTTTACATGGATCTTTGGTAACAAATAAGAATCGGCATCTGTAATAACATTTTAATTAGTTGCTTTGTTTCTGTCAGATACTCAAATGTTGTATTAAATAAGTTTGGGCTGTTTGATATCCTTCAATAATAATATATGTATGCTTCTAGAAACACAGATTCTCGGTGATTAGGCCCCACTTAGCAATAAAATTTAATTGAGAATTCCAATCCAAAGTGCAGTTATTCAATGATGGAGCTCTCATAATCATTGAAAATTCTTGCCAAAATCACTTAACATTTACAGCCTATTTAATTTTGACTACTCTGTAGGTCACGTGAACAGATACTGACGTCAGAAAAAGTCCCATGATGCATATACATTTATGCTTTATTTGCTCCGTTATGAATGGTGTGATCAAAGAGAATGGATGCTGTTAAATCATCAGTGTTAAATCAGGAAGATGGGCATTACTTATTTGGTTATTCGTGAAGGTCAGCCATGTCCTTGCAAATTTTTAAGAGTGTGCAATTATGTATATCCTTTAAAACACAAGTACAGTATTTAAGCTTCTTATGAAATGGTAAAGTGACGGTTCACACTTCAGAAAATTTGAATGAGAAAAGAACTGTGTCAAGTATTACGAAATTACTGGTCTAGCTTACTGACATAGTTTTTTTCTATCAGTTCTTAAAGTGCGAAGAAATTTCATAAAAATTTAAAATAAATTACACAAGACGATAAGGAAAATAACATAAAAAGTCTTGTTCCGTTATAAAGAGCCTTTGACGGTCATTCCCAGTGTGAAGCAATATCGATATTGAATTCTATTTGTAAACAGTGAAAGAGCTTTACCCCTATTGTGTTTGATGTATTGTTTTAGCAATGAAGTACTAAGCCGAAACTGGAAAACTTGTGGGAGTAAATAAGCTCGGGGGTGGAATGCTTCCGCCTGAACCCGAGATTATTAATGAAATGTTTTATAAGGCTTCCTGTCCAATAAACAATTTTAAAATTCAGCACGTAGCAATTTTTCAGAGACATTTTTTCTTTTTTATTGCCCCTCAATGTTTTGCATTATCGCCAATAGGTTTTAGGTCGATTATTTCTTAACTGTCTCGATATTAACGACTTAAGGATCGTGTTTTCTGATAGATTTAATGGAAATAAGTAGCACAAAAGAAAAGCTGAGGTCTAATTCTGTTGAACTATTTAGTCATGTTATCACACAAGACTGTAGATGATATGCTGATAGCCACCTCAAAAAGGCGACTTTGAAAATTTTTACACTCTTCTTTTGCATTTAACTCTACGACTAAGAACTATATGGTAAGTTAATATTTGATTTCAGTTTGGAAAAGAAGACCTTCTGAACACGAACTTGCACTGAAGCTAGGTTGATATATTTCTTCTAAGTCAACGTCTTATATTTATTACTCCCACGACAGGAAGCGGAAACTAAAATACACAAAATTTTATGTTTCTTCGCTTACTTTTCACATTTCATTAAGCAAATATCTTAAAAACATCTACGGAACAATGACCCTCTCTTTTTGTATTTCTTTAAATGATACCGTTCAGACATAACACTCTGTTTGAGGGACTTCACCTCACATAGTTTCTTGACCACAACAACACTTGCGTATTGTACTATAAAGGGGTCAGTTAAATAATCATTTTACTTGGTCAAACACTGGTCTAGTTAACCAAGAAATTTGGAAATTGTATAATTTAAAAAACCCTTTTGCCCAAATTAAAAAAATATATAAAACGACAACAACAGTACTTATTTGAAAGCCCAGAAATTGTTTCAGAGGTGATAAAATTTTATTGTCATTTTATTAGCTATGTACGCATTTCATTACGTTACAATATCTATATTTCAGTGATACAATTTTAATTAAGAAATTTTTTCTGTATATTATTTAAAAGTTTTTATCACAATATCGAACACATAATTAAGCAAATTTAATAAATGTCAAGACCAATCATTTACAATTGATATTAACTCTGATTAAGAAATTAATTTACTGAACTAAATGATATTAAAACAAAATTTCGTATCCAAGCAGAGTTAAATAATTCTCGTTTATAACAAAGGTAAGGCATTTTCCAAGTTGGAAAACTTACAAAATAAATTGCTCAAGCAAGTTGAAAATATTATTTTCTGAAATACAGTTGAGAGTGCATTTTTTGGACGAATTTTGAGTCTAATTTCAATATTTTAAGTGTGTTTTGTTCTTTCTTTCTTTTTTTTTTTTTAAATACTGGTGTTTACTGTTTGATTATTCCAATTTCGATGTAACACCTGTAAACAGCTTTGGCCTTGAACAAGTTTTCTATATTTGACGTCCTGCCCAAAAGTTCATGTGTATACCAATTTAAGGATAGCCAGGATTTAAGAGCGTTCTTCATGTAATGTTAAATGCTGTTACTCTACTTAGCTAAACCTTATAAATCTCTAAGGGTTTAAACGTGCAAGTGAACAGGGAACGATACACCCTCTCCAAAAGTCTAATTCAAATTCAATATTGGTCTTTTAATTATAAATCAATAAGAAAACTTGCAAAAAATGATTGAAATCACGTATATTATATGACTTCCAGTTAGACGATTTTAAAGATGTTTAAAATCTTTATCTGTCTGTTTTTTGTAATTAAATATTCCTATATATATCAACATAATATTTCCAGCAACGTGTAAAATAGAAGGTGATATTCACAAACACTTATTTCATCTTTTGACATCAATTCCGTGTTATTTTTTTTAAAGAGGAAAAACTCTACCATTAACATTTAATAACAAATATATCACGACAGAGGAGTGCATTTTTTTGCGCCAATGAAATTGCAACTGCTGCCAAAGTAGTAAATGTTGACACAGAAAAAATGTGTGGGAATAAATGAGAAAGCACGTGAATTTGACAGGTACTTACCATGCAAAGAAGAGGCACATGTAGGAGCAAAACAGTCACTACTAGTCGGTAGTCCATATTCCGTTAACTGACGCAGGACTATACGTTTTTTCTATGTAGTGCTTTATTTTATATGGAATACTTAGGTAGGCGAATTATTAGAACCAGAGGTCGATTCTTTGTCACCCGTAGATCATTCGCCAAGTAGCCCTGGCGTTCAGGAGCAGGCTATTTATAACCTCTCTACTCTCTGTACAGTTGAAGAAAATGCTCATTTTTTGACAAGCATCGATACTAATATGACGTATGATTACACGTGCTAAAATTGCTATCCGCCGGTGCTAAATCTCTTGATCAATTTATAAATAACATAATTAGCTGATTTCTTTAACACTCGTGGTTCGGTGACAGAAAATGACAAAAAGTTGTATAATTGTTGTGCCTAGCTTAAATTATTCAATGGCGAAAATCGCGGGCGTCCGGGGGTCCCCAAGACATGATCGTTAAACAGTTTAATATATCTTTATCTAATTCTCCCCAGGAACGAGGTTTACGCAAAATTACATAAACACGCATTGAATTATCATCTGAAAAAATTAATATTAATCTATCATACCAGTTATTCGTTTATGTTTTAAAAAGTTTTTCAAAGTTTTACTTTTTTTGTAAATTAAAAAAAATTGTATGTATAAAACATTTATATTGAATAATTGAAAATATACGTGCATTTATACCCAGCTACTGATTCCGCCTAAATATTGTATGTAAAACATTTATATAATCATTAAACATTGAATAATTCAAAATATACGTGCATTTATTCCCAGCTACTAATTCCGCCTAAATATTACTCCGTTTTCTTCTAACTTTTATTCCTTTATTTATTGATGACTATGGCACTCGTTGTGTATCTGGGATTAAAATTTTTATACAGAAAAATATAATTTTTCCGTATTTTTTTTTATGTTTTAGGGTGGACTTTTTAATTAAAGTCAATCAATGTGATTCCTTTTCAAAAAAGAAGGTTTCCATTTTTATCACACTGTGTAAAGTGTGTTACCAGACACCACTCAACCCGAGTTTGACGATTTAAATATAGATGAAGCAATTAAATACCAGTCTATTTAAACATTTTTTTCTTCAAATGTTGCAGATTAAAGAAACGGAATTCACTTCAAACACGACCTAATCTATTATTATAATTGCTACCCTGCTCATCCGTAGATATGCTTCTAAATACAATTTGCAAAGGGGCGCGCCGATCTCAAAAGGAATAATGGTAATCAATGGATCATTTTGATTTAGTTTGTACAGCTGATTTTTTTTCTTATTAAACGTTGATACTATTTTGAGAAATTGCGAAGAGTGAGAGTGTGTAAATTTTAAACAAGAGAAGCTTGAGAAGTAAAGACGTGTAATAATAACCATCGTTAAATGCATGTACATGTATCTTTGAACTTTTTAAAAAGATACAAGTCCCAACATTACGAAAGAGTTTTTTCTTATTATTTAAAAAATGTATAATATTAAATCCAAGGAAATCCCGTCTTTAAAAAATCGCATGAAATTTTGTTAGTTATTTCGATGTAAATAATAAATAATAAGGTAAGCATGATTTTTTAATCGAAACTCAAGGTAACATTTTAATATGATTTGGATTAAATGTCCTTTTGTACAGGTCTGGTAAAAGAAAACAGAAGTCTATGACGAGCCTGGAACTCTACCAGTTTATACAGTGGAGCCTCTTTAATCCGGACTCTTCAAATTCCTACTTGCTTGGGCGTCCGATTTAAAGATACTTGGAGGAGAAAATTTGTATCTTCGGCCTTAAATTTAGATTTAAATAATATAATGATTTTAAAACAGGTAATATTTTATTCAAATCTGGCAAAAGTAAGGCATGTAAAAGGGATGTTTTGTTATTTTCGGATTCAGCAACCACTTCATAACAATATACAAAAATCAAAAATGAAATATATAATTTTCTTTTTCTTCTTCTTTGAAAAAGGGTTGAATGACTGTAAACAAACAGACGAAAGATACTTAATCATTAAATAAGCTCTTCTGGTCTCTGAAAATATTAAACTGCTGTTCATTTCGTCGAGTTTGGCATAAAAAATATATAATGGTTAGGTTGTATAAAAATTATACAAAAAAAAAAACATACTTGTAACTATAATTCAAAATCAAGGCAGCATTCAACATCGACCCCGATGCAAATTACGTAATTTCCGTTTCGCACAGGAAGCAACCCACAAACAAACACACACGCACACGTACGCGATTCCGTTGCGAGGGGATAATAAAGAAAATATGGCATGCTCCCTTCAAGGATGAATGGAAATCACAGCCTTGCAAGCAGCAGAAATAACCTTTGTTGCTATTCATCATGCAAACTTTCGAATCCATTGCGATAGTGTGGTTTAAAAATTGAGCAATTTTTTAAATGAATCATCTCATTTTTTGCTACATTTTAGTTAAACATGTCGTTATTAATTTCGTAAAAATGGATTTGCGTTGTTGGAGGTTTTATTGCTGTGTAAGCAATCAAATACAGTTAACTTTGGGCTAAATTTTAATTTAGAATATTGCACGATGGAGTAAACAAAAGTTCGAAAATAAAATTTGACATTTACACTCATTATGAAATTAAGTAATGATCACGTAAATGTAATTAAAAGATAAGAAGGGGGCGTAGAAACTTACCATGGTAGTCAGTATGATAAGCGAATGTTGGTAGAGTGATCACAACGCCACTGAACAATTCGTATTTATTTATCCATGTTTGTATAGTCATTCCACATCGATAGTTACAAGTATGTGTTTGTTGCAACTGCTGTACAATGAAGTGTAAATGGTGATACATCAAAAGTAGTATCATTTTTGTTCAATTAGTGATGGAATCATGGAAGCGATATTCAACCACACAGTTAACGAAAACTTTGTAATAAAAAAGAGATGTTGTTATCCAAAAGTAAGAACTTGTCTGGATAAATATATTTGTGAAATTTGAAAGCCAAAACACCAACAGTTCAAAAGATATGGCAAAGGTCGAAGTTTTAAAAAGTGGGTCATACTAATAGGTCAAGGTAAAAATTAATTGTAAATAGAGGAAGACCTTGTCATCAGAAATGCACATGTGAAAAATAGAACCCCTAGCGTCAACTGTTCAAAAGTTATGTCCAAAGTTGAAGTTTTCCTCAAAGTAGCTGCAATTTTAAGGTCAAGGTCAGTAGGTCATACTTGTTGATACCCCAACAAAGATCATCTTAAAAGAAATACCCCATATACGAGGGGTGATCAAAAAATTCGCGAACAAACCGAATAACGTCCATAAAACAAATAAAATTAGGTTTCAGTGTTCATCATTTTTTTAAAGTAGCCCTCTCTGACTTTAATGCATATCTGCTACCGTTCTGTTCATGCGCGAATCACGTGATCCAAGCAGTCACGTGACATGCTCTGAAGCATTCTGTTTAAAGACTAAAATATTTTCCCGAGTCTTAAATTTCTTACCATGCAAGTAATTTTTTTTATAACAAGAAAGTTCATTTGTCAGAAATGACCAAATCTCGGAAATAGGATGGTTGGATAAGGACATTCTTTCCCAGAAAGAGCATGGTGACAATCACAATCCGAGTCCTCTGTATTAGGATATATACTGTCGGGGCCTTCTTTTTATCATATTTAATATGTTAAAAGTCTAAATTTAACAATATCTAAGGGATTTAATAATGATATTATTGTAAAGATATTCCACCATTTTTCTAGCTGTAACTTCGCGATCTTTCATAACAAATTGCCCAACAAAGGACATATCTCTACCCCCAGTTTGCCTTCGCTGGGCTACAAAACAAACGTCATTTTTAACCATCTCCCTCCCCTCACTTTAACAATCAATCCAATTTATGATCGAACGTCTTTAAAGTCTATAGTCAAATTATTATAAGATACTTCAAAGGAATTCCCAAGTTATACGTTAAACTTTACAGCCGTTCGTTGCTCGAGTAAGACGGTGACAACCATTTTTCGTCATATGTCACCTACATATCATTTTCACACTGTGACGTCACAATGATGGAAAAATTCATTACCTTTGATATGCTATTTATAGAACATATGCATGACTAAAGGTGTGCCAAATTTCATTCTGATCTGAATTGTAGTTTTCTAAATATAGAGATAGTTTGCGAACATTTTGATCACCCCTCGTACAACATAAAAACTTTTCTACTAACTGTTCAAATGTTACAGCTCATGTTTAAGTTTTAAAAGAGTCGTTCAAAATCAAATGCCAAGATCAAAAGGTTTTCCATGGGTATATTTTCTGATATGGAAAGGTCATGTCTCAAGGAACGCACATGCGAATTATGGAAGTTCTAGCACCAACTGTTCAAAAGTTATGACCAAGGTTAAAGTTTGCTATTTTTTTTTTGCAAAAGTGGGACAAACTCCGAGGTCAAGGGATCAAATATTTTGGTACACAAATAAAGGTTTTGTCACAAGGAACGCAAAGAACTTACCAGAGAAATATAAAAGCCCTACCTCGACCAAATCAATTGATATAAGCAAGGATTCAACAGCCCCTCGACACGACAAAAACTGTATACCCCAGAAACATCGATTACAGGGGCATTAAAACATAAATTACTAGATATACATAAAAAAACGAGTTTTCCTTTTAATTAATTTCCTATCACAATTTGGAAATATTCAGTGCAAAATGGTTTACATTGCGAGGACCCAAAGTATTTTTGTGCTTAACGGCGAAGAACCTTTTACAAATGCACAAGATAAGTATGGCAAGTCCTTTTGCTATTTATTCAGAAAATAAAATTTATCTTAAAATTACAGAGATATCTGTCGTTTTAGAGAGATATCTCTTAAAAAATAGAGATAACTCCCAACTTGAAGAGATATCTCTCATTTTTAAGAGATATCTCAATGACAAAAAGATATCTCTTAAACGTAGAAAGATATCTCTTATACTTAGAGAGATATCTCTTTTTATAAGAGAGATATTTCTGTAGGTGAAAGAGATATCTCTGAACGTTAAAGAGATATCTCTTTCACCTATAGAGATATCTCTTTTACTTTTGGAGATATCTTTCCAAAT